AGTGAGGTGTCACCAGACTCCGAAACCTGATATTTGTACGAAGATATCGATTATATCTATCATACGATAAAAAAAGATCGGAACAATGTTGTCACAGCTGTCGCGGGTATCATTGTTTCATCGCGATAAACGATGATATTGTAAAAAATCAACGTTCGACAAAGAAGTATTATATATGAGTTTGTTCTTTGTTGCTGCATTGGTGAACTGATGCAATAAATTAAAGTGAGACAAGTATATTTTGTTTCACTCTAACTTACTGCACCAGTGTGCACTAGTTCACCAGTGCAGCAATAAAGAACAAACCTTATATTTACACCGAAATATAAATATGCACTGATCAAAAATGTGTTAACTCGATTAAACCTTTCTACTAAATTACTATTTTGTTAATTGAACATATATTAGTTTTTAAGTCAAATATACGTTTTGTTAGATTTAGTGTATATCATATTCAATTTAAATATTTTTATTCATGTTCAATTCACAACATTATATTTAATTGAAAGGTTTAGTCAAGTTAACAAATATGTTTTTTTAGTGTACTTTATAAAGTTTAAATTTTTTTTTTTTTTTTTACAATCGAGACTATTTGTACTTATATGATTGTAACATACTTTTTGTAATATCGAAATATAAGCAAAAAATAAGTGCATAGTCAAATTTTACGAAAAGAAAAAAAGCGATCATATGCAAGAGAAAAATACAGATTGTTAGTTCTTGCTGTTATTAAATACGATAAAATCATCTGCGACGCCAATAAAGGTTCAGGGTAGAGAGATAGAATAGAAGCAGAGAGTCAGAGAGAGAGAGTTCAATAATCTAGCAGCGCGGATCTCTCGTTGTTAGCATTGAAATCTCCAACTGTGAAATGCCACGACTTCTCGTCGTTGCTCGTTTTTCGCTCGTTCGCGCGAAAATGACACACATGATGAAGAAAGAGAAAAAGAGACTCGCGTAATGTATTACTTTGCATCATCATATTTTACAAGAGAGAGAGAAAGAGATAGACCTCGCGTATCTCGCATAGCGAGTTAAAAAACGGAGCACGATGTGGCTCTCTCGTAATGGACGCTGTCACCGTTTGCACAATGTGCGTGAACATATTACTTTACGAGTTCTTTTTTTTTTTTTTTTAATAAACCGTACAAAGCTCACGAACAAGCGATCATTTTTTGAACGACCCATTCTTGCACGGGCAGTAAACGTCGGAGTTCACGCTTCATTCGATAGTTGCTGCGATCATCGCGGAAGCAGATTTATGATAATCAAGCGGCCTTCTCTCTCTTCTCACTAGCGGCTGATATAGCTTTCTTAAAACGAATTTCGATTTCCCAATAAGAGGCCGAGATTTACGACCTCCCGTTTCGCCCGGGCGCCTTTTTTGCGCCTTGTCACGTCCCCTCTTTTTTTTCGGGCCCCGCGAAGGAGGTGCGCGCACTTTTTTTACTGCCCTTCCTTCTTCATATACGCCCCACGAGGAATACGGCCCGACAGCGTCCCTTCTTCTGCGCGAAATGGATTCACGTACGCGAATAACGTGAAACGCTCGCTCGCCGATTCACACATTTACCTGCTTGCCCGCCGAGAAACGGTAACCGGCTTGTAATGCATGCGTGCATGATCGTCAAAGTCGGGTCAGGGTAAGATTGACTTGACGGGTCTTCTCGTAAGCCGAGAATAGAACGACCGATTTCGCTATATACTGTGAAAAAAATATGTAAAATTACAATAGAAATAATGAAATTGTATACATTATTTTCATTATTTATCGTGTAATTTTACATTTAGAATTTATGTAATTTTACATATTTTTTTTACAGTGTAACGACACCCGACCTCCAAGTTGAAGAACACATTGACGAAATAAAAATTATCCCGTTAAGCGAAGTCAGGCGACAGATGCAATTACAGAACGCAAGTTTGCAATCACGATTGAAAGCGAAGAAACGGACGTTTGTCTCGTGGGATAATTAGAGATAATTAGAGATGTGTAAGAGTTGAGATTTCTAGATCAGCTGATGCGATTGAAGATAAGGAGGAAAGAAAGATGCGTTATCGGAGTTCGACGCGACATTAAAAGCAGCGATCAAGCGTTAATTGACATCATTAATTGAGGTCGTTAATCGAAGTTGGGGAGGAAATTGGCCGGTTCTTCTGCAAAAGTGGTGATATTACACTCGTTAAGGCTCGATCGGCGGATTCGAGATGCGAAATACGAAATAGCAGAAGCAAATGCAGTCGCGGGAGGACATATATATATATATATCTCGTCGTCGAGGACCGAGTACAAAAAATCTGTCATGAATTACGCAGACCGCTTCACACCAGGCGGAAAAAATCGTCGGGGTAACGAGACACGGTATGAGGTCTGTGTTACCAGTAAAAATAGAGAGAGAAAAAAGAAACGTTACGAGACTGTGACAGTTAACTTTACCGTGTAGTTATGCAAGCAGTTCAGCTATAAAGTCGGTCACAATGTTGCATATCCACACGAACATGCATATGTGCATGCATGCGCGATTCGTTGCAGTTTCTCGTGTCGCCATTCTCGATTAGACAAGTCGTGTTTAACCGTTCTTATCGATCAATTAATTACTGTCAAAAAGCACTCCATGTCAGTATTTTTTGGTTTTTTAGAACATGTTACGAAAAAAGATTTGTATTTTTTTTTACATTGCACTTAACACTAAAAGCGATTATCAAATTATCTTATATCACATTTAGAATCAAGATCGATAGGTCACGTTTAGAGTTAAACGTGCGATGAGGATTTTTAATATTTCACACAAACATGACTGATTCATACGTATGATTTCAATTTCAAAGATATATTCTATTTCTAGAGATATTTTATTTGAGTGAAATAATATCCTTTACGTATAATCTTGGATTGACATCGCTTAATAAAATCGTTCAGATTCTTAATTCAAAAAACTTTCGCATTTGGAATCTGCGATCGTTCGCCCTTGCGTAGTTATGTAAAACTATCGAAATATCGAAATATTCCAACTGTCCCAGAAATTTTCAGTTTCTAACTCCTAACTTTCAAGCTCACGGGTTCCGAAAAATTTTCGGCTCGCGATTCAGAAATTCTCAACTTTACAGGAATTTTACCGATATATCCGAAAAGTTCCGGACTTTTTAGTTTACGAAATTACCTCTCTCCCTGCCTTCCGTCAATCACAGGATTGGTTACCACTACCGTTACAACGAACTTTCCTCCGATTTGCATCAAGCCTTCTATCTACACCACGTTCGCGACTGCAGCAGCAGCAACATCGGCTACAATATTGCGCCTGCCATAATCCCGGCGCGCTTCTGACACGTCGCTTCCGCCTCTCTTTTTCTCCGCGATCGCCTGCAATTTGGACGTCACGAAGGAAATCCTCGCCGCGACCGGGGATCGACCAATTCGCCGGCGCATTAAAGTCGTACGTACGTATACACACATATATATATGCTGCCGCAATTTTGGCAGACGCGATGATACCACGCCCGGCACGATAAAAGCACGCCGGAAGTGGATGGAACGAGGAATCAACCGAACGAGGGAGCAGGAAGGGTGGCTGTTATTCGAAACGACGACGACGACGACGACGACGACGACGACGACGACGACGACGACGACGGTTGGATCCCGCCGTGAGAAATCGATTCGCCGGCAAAATGCTCGCTTGCAAACATATATATGTACACACACACACACACACACGAATATGGCCTTAAACGTCTTGGCACACGCGCCAAATGCGCGTATAGTTCTCTCTTCGCGATTCCTCGCTAGCGACAAGAGGAAAGATTGGGACATGGGGGCGATGGCAGAGAAAAATGCCGGGAAAGGATCTGTCGCGAGACCTCGAGTTTTACGGAAATTTCTAAGCGATATGCCAGTACGGAGGAGCGGATAAAGTCGAGTCTATTCAGTTCACTTGCAGCTGTATGTATGTGTCTTTTTTAGAGTGTGTCACGAAAAGAGATTTATATTTTTTTCATTGCGCATATTTTTAAGAGAGTATCAAATTCTTATGTCGCGTTCAGAATTGAGAGCGAAAAGTCACATACTGAAAAAAGTTTAACCTGATTAAATCTGTCAATTAATATTTTTTTGTTGATTAAACATATAAAAATAGTTTAATTAAATATAACATATTAAATCCAACAAGATATAGGTATATTCGATTTAAATACCAATAACTGTTCGCAATTAACAAAATATAGTAATTTAAGTTGAAAGGTTTAATCAAGTTATCAACTTTTTTTCAGTATACAATTAAGAGTTAAATATTCGATAAGCTTGAACATTTTACGAGTATATGATCAATTGAAAAAAAGATGCGGTAGCAAAATCCTTATTTATAGAAATTTATATTTATATTAGTTTGGAGATCTTTCGAATAAGATATTTTATTTCGTTAAAATACGCAGAAATATCTATACAAAATAGAATTGTATAATTCATGAAAAAAATTATTATCATACACATGACTCAATTCACTCTTTTTGCATCCTCGCAATTAATGAGTTAATCACGAAATTCTGATCAAACTTTTAAAGCTAAAAATCACATTTAAAGTTAACTGTCCGATGAGAATTTTTAATATTTCACGCGAACATGGTTTCGATCCGCATATGTCAAATTAAAAAAAAGGTTTATTAGCAAATTTTTATTGTAAATTTTTAATCTGCAGAATCTTCTGAATAAGATATTTCGTTAAAAATAGACAGAGATTTTTATAAAATAGAATCGGTCAAGAAAAAATGATTGTCACACATACGACTTGGTTCCTAATTATTATTCTTTTCACGTTCTCCTCAATTAACGAGCTAATCACGAAATTCTCGCCCAACTGTTTTCACTTTTCTACGTCTTATCGTAAATTCGCGGCAAACTTTTTCACTCGCATTCGAGAATATAAATTCCTGATCGACTCCTGGGGAATCGCCGCGGCGATTAGAGAGATATAACGAGTCACACACTTTGTTCGCTGCTCACTTACATGGAATTGGTGGTGTTCCAGTACATGCTGATCGTCTTGGCGCAGTTGCTCACGGTTGACAGTAGCACCGTTTGTAGACACACGAGGAACACCAGAGTTACGAAGGACGTGGAAACCATGGTAACAACGTGGACGACGACCAGCACCGTCACCACGAGCACTCGGACTCGAAAACAACCACCACCGACACCAACAACAGCACCCGTTGCACTTTCGCCCGCGACCTCGTTGCAGTCGTCCACAACGACCACCTACTTCTTCCACCACTGTCGCACCTCCGCCACATGCACACTCCACTTTGGACCGTTGTTTTTTCTCCGCTTTCGTCGACGAGTCGATTCTCTCTCCCTTATCCACCTTATCCCAGGATTATCTCCGGCGCTTTTTACACCGTCATCCCGAAAAAATCCGGCGCAACGATCTTCGACGCGATTCTCGATGTGATCGGAAAGAAGAAATCACCGCAGATCTTGGACGTGCTCGACGAGAATTCGAGTTCTAAGTATCGGAGCGATCAAACGCGATTCGTTTCTCTCGGCGCGCCGTTGTCGATGGTATCCGAGATGATAGCGCCGGTTCCATGGATCCAGCCCGTGTTTCTCTCGCCCGGAGCGTAGCTCACCAGGTCGTTCATTGGTTCAGTTTTTCCCCTGAGATTCTGCGAAAATGATACAGCGACGATCGCGGCTGCTACGCTACACAAACGCGAAAACGAACGCCGCGTTCTTCGGCTGGAATCGTTGCGCAGCGCGAAGTGAAGTGAAGTGAAGTTAGCTACCCGTCGCTCGCCGTCGATCACTCGATACGGCGAATGCGCGCGATGGAGCTCGACATGTTCAGGGTGCGTAGATCGAGTATTCCGCGATGCGATGCTTTCAATCGGCGAAACTTTTAACACTTTTCAAGAAGCGCACCGTCTCGAGAGAGAGACTCCTGGTGCCACCACATATCCGTCGAACTGCCGATATATTCACGGATATTCCGATTTTTAGTCACCCGGGAGTAGAAATCTCACTGGACAAAATCTCACATCAGGGCGATATTATCCGTTGAGGGTGTCAACTTCACAGAGGTATATTATCCCTCTTAAGCACAAGACACTCTACAGTATCCTAACACTCGAAAGTCACACTCGCGACGATTCCCACGGAATTCCGAGAGGGTATCCGACCGGCGAAAAATCGGTCGAGGAAGGAACGGACGACTGAAACACCACCGTTACATCGATACGTAACGATTATCGATTTCTCGCAGCCACGATTCGACCGTCGAATCGAGTTAGAGTATAAGACGCGAATGTCCGAGAGATACGGCTATCTCTCTGGTCGACGGACTAATAAACGCAACCTCGCTGCTCGGCGTCGCGGACGCGTCTGTCGACCGAACGGTTCGTCTCGCGTCGCCAGACTCGGCTCGCGGCGGCTCGAGCGCCGAGCGGCGCCGGACTCGCACGAAGTCGGCCGAGTCCTCGCGCGCTACTCTGTCGGGGCTACGCGTTATTACGCCGCGCCGCTCGCTCGCGAGATGTGAGTCTCGGAGCGACTCTTCTCTCTCCGTACAGGAGCGCGCTCCTTCGGAAGAAAGAACGTTGCGGTTGCAATGACCAAATTTTCGCCGAATGCGCTTTTTTACGGCTATCCGAAACTTTATCCAGTTCTAATCGAATAAAGGAATTTCAAGTTTAGCGATTTGTCACGTGTTTCACGTATTTCATTTAAACGGTATGAAATACACGTGATGTATATCTTTAAACTTGTGAAAACAATGCTAAATAATAATTAAGTTAAATGATCTATTTCGTGTAATTTAAAAAAAGAATGTGCAGATTTACAGGTTTTGTATATTTAAAGTAGAAAACATATGATAAATATTCTTTAAACTTGTGAAAATAAGACTAAATAATGTCAGAGTGTAAAAGATTAAAAAAGTTTATATTAATTTTTGTAATTTAAAAAAGAAATCTATAAATTTCTGACAGATTTCACGTCATTTCAAGTCGTATAAAACGCGTTTGATATATCTATTCTTTACTTGTGGAAATAATACCAAGTAATAATAATGAATTAAAATTAATATAAAATGTATGTTAGCATCGTTAGCAGTTCATGTATTATTTTTCGCAATTTAAAAGAAATAAATAATTTATACTCAAATATATCAAATATACTCCTAAGCTGCAAAAAGACATTACTTGTCTCTGTCCGATTATTTTTATTTTTGTACATGGAGAGAAAATTATGGTAATCATGGGACAATATAGTATTGGAAGAGTATAAGAATTTCTCTGAAAAATATGTATAAATAAAATAGAGAAAAATCCGGTTGAGAGAAGAAAGGATATAGACAGTAGAAAATTAAATATAATCCGAGGATATAAATCGAAAGATGTTAGGATTTGACGATCGACAGGACGCAGACAACAACCATAAACAAATAATAAATCAACGAAAAAACAGCATTGAACAGACAACAATAAGGAGATAATAACAAAGAGAAAGATGATTTTTGGTAGGAAGACAGAGCTGTTAGGACAAAAAGATGATTATTCGGTTCGCGTACAGAGACACTTTGTAGCTAAGCAGAATAAAAGTTGAGTAAAAATATATCTTCCCGAAATATCTCTTGTGATCCTCCGACTCTCCTGATCCTATATACGCATCCTCGCGAATCGACATCCGCGAATAAAATATATCGGTAAAGTGATATAAAACACAATAAGATATAAAATATGTTTGATTAATTTTATACCATGTATATATTAATTTTTTATTGCGGTAAATGTTAATCAGAGAGAAACTCTTATAAAATTCTTTCATCGTTCCATGATTACTACGATCTTCATAGTAAATTTTAAAAGAAAATTCTCTCTGTGTATAGATAAAATAGTTGCGTTGAAAAAGTTTCATAAATTTTTCATTCTTTCATTCTCGAATCTTTTACACAAAGAGTTCTGTTTTGATATTTTTTTTATTTGTTACTTCATCTAGATATAGAACTGACACAAAGCAGATCAAACAATCTCGTCTGTCATGCCAGACGTAATTTCGGTCACAGCATGGCGAGCTCAAACGTTTCTCAATTCCCGAGGGAAAAAGGGGATAGAACCTTCATTAAGAAAAGCGGCCACCATGATAAATTCAACCTAAGTAGAAAAAAAAAGAATGACACGTATGCATTCGTTTAACGTTGCTGCAACGCGTCTTTTCAGAGAATCATTATACGGTTCGGATTCTCGTCGCTTCAATATTCTCCTTCATCTTCGATTTTAGAGGCAGATGGAGGCAGGAAGAGGTTCGATTACGACGAGACGCAGGAACATCTCTTGTTCGCGCCATCAACGGCTCTCCCTCGGCACTTTCCTGGCGCGGAAAGGCGAAAAACAGAGATTCAATTCTGAAGAAGAAGGAATGCTGCGGAAGAGAGAAGAAAGGGAGACGGCGTATATTCTTTGATACCACCCGTAGGTGCGAAGTGTATATGAATCTCGTACGAGGGCTGTAAATCTTTTTCCTTTTATAATCCAGCCGGAGAGTGCCATCATCCCCCCACGTTCTCTTCATCACGAAAAGGGACGAATCACGCGTGTTTACGAAGGTGGGAGCATTCAGACTCACCGCGGGGTGTCATCCATACGAAATACGGAAGGGTTCCGAGGGAGCGAAAGCGAGAGATGCAAGCGCGAATATGGTCGATGCATGATGACTCTCGCGCGAAAGGCTTTCCGCTCTCTTTTCCCGTGATCATCCGCACTTCTTCTCTCTTCCCTCGAGTGAGTCTTAATTATTTCGCACCCTTTGAGTCTCGGCAACTAGGCAACCTCTTCACAAAGTGGGATATGCGCGCGCGGCGTTAATGAGACACCGTTACGGTAATTTTTTCTTTTTTCTTTTTTTTTTGCCGAATCGTTCCAATCGACTCACCGGGTTTATGGGTCATCCGGTTAAATGGCGTCCAAAGTTCTGAACTCTCGAGTATATATATTAAGAATTACGGGTGAATGCGTCGAATCACGCAGAAGAGTCGAGGTAAATTGTGTGTCTCGAATATATCTGCGATCTGCAAATTTATATACTTCCCGAGACGTGACTCATCGTCACTGTTTAATTACAGCAGGTGGAATTATCGCATAGAACCTGCTCCGCTTTCATGCGAAAGAGCGAAGAGAGCCTCTTCCTTCCGTAACGTATGGGTGATGCGCACCTGTCACATGCACGGAATATTATTCCGCATCTACGAACAGGCAAAGTGGAATCGAATGCTCGGCCGCGATTAAATGAAGCGTTAAAATTCAGCACGAGTATCGCTGAATATTTGATTAGATCGATTTTCGAGCGCAAATTAGAATTGGTCGAAGTTAACTTGCGAACGAGTTATCAATTTTTGTCCGCAACACTGGAATATTGAAAATATTCTTCGTATAAGTTTGCGTCGCGTAAGAAAGATCTAGAGAACTTTCGCAATAATAATATATTTTGCAAAGATGGTGCGAGATAAAAATTTTCTCCGTAGCGCATATATGCACACGTTTTCATATTTCCTATCTATCGTAAAATAAATACGAACGACTATATGAAGGGATAGTTAAAATTCGCGAATTAATATCACCGATATTTTCATTTACGTTTTTCCTTTTTTTTTCTTTCAAAAACCTTCAGAAGAACATGAAAATAACGGTGAATATATCTCGCAACGGGCGTTCGTTACAGAAAGCAAACATTTCCAGAATCGGAAATAACGGAGCGAACAAACGATGAGCCACGAAAAAACCCGGGATGGGATAGAACCTGTTTCCGAACCATTGCCCGCAATTTCTTATTCTCTTCGAACTGTAACACGAAGAGAAAGAGTGAAAAAGGAAGAAAAGAATTTTAATATAATCATCTTTCTCTCTAACTCAACCCATGTGTAAAAAATTCATTCCGTTATATAATTCGGTGATTGCGGTGAAATAAATTTTTATGTCAGAAATATAATGTCGTATTTTTCATAAATACAAGTAAAAAATTAAATTAATTAACGTAACTTTAATAAATTTAAAAAAAGAGCAACTCCATATATATATACATATTAGAGAGACCCTATAATCTATTATATATTTTAATATTATTTACTACAATTTGATATCTCCAGAGCGACTTAGTTTGACTCGCCATAATTTATCAAAGCGCTCCCCATAATTTCGGTCAAGGCTACAACGTTAAAACTGTCGAGCGTAAAAGCGAGCGTTCAAAGGACTCGGACGAGCAGCATTCAATCTTAAACGCG